CCACAATAACGCCACACTACCCCCTCTTCACTTTCATCGGTGATCAAACCCCCCCACACCCTCTTCACTTTCGTCCGTGATCACCCCACCTCCCACTCCCCACCCAACCCCCCTTCCCCCCACACCCAATTCACTTTCATCCGCGATCACTTGTCAGAGGGCCCGTGGCGGCCAGCAGCGCCCCTGTTCAAGGTTATCATATCATCAGAATCATATACAAGCCAAAGGTTTACAAAAATCAAACAAACATAATTCTGTTTCGCTACTACGCTTGATTTTGGATTTATTGTAACATTTTTAAATATTTTAAATGAGAATCAGAATTTTTTTTGTTATACTTCAAAAAATAAAAGTGTTTAGTATTCAAAAATGTTTTATTTATTTATTTTTATATATCGGTCTTACACTTTATATTGTTCATAGTGTATGTGTTAATTTCGGTACTTTTACCATAGACCGACATGTCAACCATTTGGTAGAGGCTGATATTTTAGAAATGATGGGATGTGTTGAAAATGAATGCATTGAGTGTGTTAACTAGCTTCCAATGCATTTTTTTTTCTTGGTGGTGTAGTTAAAGGGTTAAGTAACAGTTATGCAAATAAAAAAGAACAAACCTGAAGGTCAAACACAGACTTACCTTCATGATTCTCCTTCTCCATAATTTCACAGGTGAAACTCGCAACTGTGTTCGTCAGATAAATATCACCCGTCTACAAGTCAAAGACTGCACTTCTGTACAGAATGTCGAAATCCCATCCTGCACTGGCCATTGTGGCTCCATGTAAGAGCACTGCACACCTGTAGACCACAAACATTAAATCTTCTTATGCTGTAAACTTTTCAAAGAAGAATCAAATTTGACTTAATACTTTTATATTTGGGACAACTCTCCACAACTGAATTGTTAGATTGTATATATTATGATACACTCATCTGATTGATGTTTTCTTGGAAATGTCTACAGGTATTCACTTTACACCAATCAAATGACCAGCTGCTCCTGCTGTCAGAAAGATAAGTCTACCAGTCTACCAGTGAAGCTGAAGTGCACCAATGGAACAGAGATTGATTATAACTACACTTACATACAGTCATGCAAATGCACTCCAATGAAGTGTGCAGACAAGCTTTAAAGTCAAATAAGAGATCCTGCTTTGAGTATGACTCTATAATCTGACACTGAGAAAACTCCCAATTAAAACTATATATCAGAAATTAATAATATAAGCTGATTGTTTACGTGCATTATTTACATATATTGCACATTTTCTTTTATCCTGGGATGTGTTTCGTTCTAAGCATAGTCTATTTGGTGGTCTTTTAAAGGGGGTTCTGGGCCCTTTCGTGCTTTATTCTTTATAATCTATGCATGATATATGTAACTTTCCTTTCATTTAAATGAATGACATCAGAATAAAGCATACTAATGAGCATCAATTACAGTGGCCCTTCTTTTTTTATGCACTGAAAGTAAGATCAACCCTCCCTCTTCAAAATGTCTCAATTATAAGAGTGTAAGCTAAATATTTTGAGGATCTTGCTTTAAATCTGATAGTTTTTAATATGCTATCTGGCAGTAGGATTTTATGTTCCTCTGTGTCAAGTTTCTTCCTGGGTGTTTTGCAGGAGTGAGTCCCTTTATGAGTGATTGATTGATTACTTTGATAATGGTACAAAACGCTACTTTGTTTACATTTTGTCTGTGCATATCGGAAGTTCGATTTTGTTTTGCAGAACGCAAAAACAAATACTGTCACCCTTGGTGCAGAAAGACACATCCTCTTGTGCAGGTGCAAAATGAGGCTCTCATTTAAGTTGACTTTTGTCTGTTTGGTTTGTTCATGCACTGCTTCACGGTCCGGGTGTGACCCCAAGCGAAGCAATAACACAGTTGCTAGTTGTTTGTCATCAGCTTGGTGTGTCCGGGCCCTTATATGAGAACAGTTGAACGTCACATGGAATGTTTTAACAATGTTATTTACATTCTTTCATTGACTTTGAAGATATTTCGAAAAATGGTAGAAAAATATAACCATTGACTTTAATAGTAGTTGTTTTTTTTTTTGTTCTGAATATGAATGTCAGTGGTTCACAGTTTCAAACATTCTTCAAAACTGGCGGACAAGCAAGAACTTTAATTATAAGGTAAACACAAAACAAAAGTTTCCATATGGAGCTCCTCCACTGGACTCGACACTTGTAAGCACTCCATCGGGCATTGTGGCTCTCAGCACGGCCCACACTCAATACAGCAACCAAGCCGACCAATCACAGAGCTTGTGTTGCGACGTGTAGTTCACTGGTTTTTGGTCCGGTTGTGAGCCTAAGCGAGGCAATAACACTGTTGCTAGTTGTTTGTCGTCAGCTTGGTGTGTCCGGGCCCTTATATGAGAACAGTTGAACGTCACATGGAATGTTTTGACTATGTTATTTGTATTCTTTCATTGACTTTGAAGATATATCAAAGAATGTTAGAAAAATACATCCATTGACTTTTATAGTTGTTTTTTTGTTGTTGTTCCGACTATGAATGTCAGTGGTTAAAAGTTTAAACATTCTTCAAAACTGGCGGAAAAGCAAGAACTTTAATCATAAGGTGAACACAAAACAAAAGTTTCCATTTGGAGCTCCTCCACTGGACTCCACACTTGTAAGCACTCCATCGGGCTTGCGGCTCTCAGCACTGCCCACACTCATGACAGCTACCAAGCCGACCAATCACAGAGCTTGTGTTGCGACGTGTAGTTCACTGGTTTTTGGTCCGGTTGTGAGCCTAAGCGAAGCAATAACACAGTTGCTAGTTGTTTGTCATCAGCTTGGTGTGTTCGGGCCCTTATATGAGAACAGTTGAACGTCACATGGAATGTTTTGACAAAGTTATTTGCATTCTTTCATTGACTTTGAAAATATTTTGAAAAAGGGTAGAAAAATACAACCATTGACTTCAATAGTTGTTGTTTTTTTGTTCTGACTGAATGTCAGTGGTTAACAGCTTCAAACATTCTTCAAAACTGGCGGACAAGCAAGAACTTTAATTATAAGGTAAACACAAAACAAGTTTCCATATGGAGCTCCTCCACTGGACTCGACACTTGAAAACACTCCATCGGGCTCGCGGCTCTCAGCACCGCCCACACTCAATACAGCTACCAAGCTGACCAATCACAGAGCTTGTGCTACATGTTGTTGCGACGTGTAGTTCACTGGTTTTTGGTCCGGTTGTGGGCCTAAGCGAAGCAATTACACAGTTGCTAGTTGTTTGTCATCAGCTTGGTGTGTCTGGGCCCTTATATGAGAACAGCTGAACCACAGAAGTAACATGGAATGTTTTGACAATGTTATTTGCATTCTATTGTTCACTTTGAAGATATATCAAAGAATGTTGGGGAAAAAAACCAACCATTGTCTTCCGAGTATTGAGTATTTTTTTGTTGTTGTTCCGACTGAATGTCAATGGTTTCCAGTTTCAAAAACTCTTCGTTTGTGTTCAAAAAAATAACGAAAGTCATGAAACCAAGTAAAGCTTCATTTGTGGGTGAACGGTGCCTTCAAAGACTTCCATTTTGTATATATATTTGTAACATACTAGGTCTGACAGGATGTTTTTTAATGTCTCCTATAGTGGAGCTTCAATCAAGTATCAAGATCTTTAACAAACATGAAAAGGTTATCTTGTGGGAGGACGCACTATTGATATAGTTTAATTTCTGTGTAAACACTTTGCGCACAATGCAAAATTCAAAAGGAACAAGGAACATTATGAAGGAAGCAGGATGTGGATTTTACATAAATCCACATATTAAGCAATTAATTAACTTCATTTTATTAAAATGACAGAAAAGTATTGCGTAAATACATAACAGTGGTTGTTCCAGTCTTACATTTTTTTTAATCAGAATTATTTACATTTAGATTTTCTGTGGAAGACTATCAAAAGCAGTTACATCTTCATGCAAAGCAAAATCCTGAATAACTTAATAAACCAAACATATGATCAGATTTAATACGTCTGTCACCTTTTGTTGAGAACAGGATAAATACTGGACGTTCTGCTTTATTTCTATAGCACTTTTACAGTGTAGATTGTGTCAAAGCAGCTTAACAAGGTCTAATAAATTGAAATTGGGTCAGTCCAGTTTTCAGAGTTGAAGTTCAGTTCAGTTTAGTTCAGCGTGGTTTAATTTTCACTGCTGAAAGTCGAAACACTGAAGAACAAATCCATCAACGCACAGCTCCACAGGCCCAAAACCAAGCAAGCCTGTGGCGAGGAACAAATCTTTTAAAATATAAAGTGCTCATCAATTGAAGCCTATGTGTACTTTATGATCAGACATTATTTGTGTATTTTATAGTGTTTTTTATGTGTATGTATTTTATATTATTGTTTCTTTTGTACATATTGTTTTATTATATTTATCTTATCATTTTATACATACAAGGCTGATTTAATTTACTGTTAGAGCAGTTATAAAAATATAACATCTCTAGTATCTTTTGTCTCACTTTTTGTGTGTGTGTGTTTGTGGTTTTCCAGACAGGACCTCAGTCTGTTGTTGTTATGCAACGTTCAGTCATTAATCCAGTTTTGACTTCCTTATTATTTTTTGTGGAAAATGGACAGAAGTTATATGAAGTGGAGTTTAGATGTAAATGCAAGCAGACTTATCTTTTGGAAGAGTGAGAACCATATTAAAATGTGGTACAAAATTAAAATATCAACGATTAAAAAGGACGTGACAAAACGTCAACAAAATTGTCATGAAGGTTAATTAGGGTTTGAACTTAAATATTGTTTATGCTGAGTTTAACGTAATATTTTAGTTAAAATAATCATTTGAAACATTATAGATTTTGGCGCTGGTCGCTGGTTCGAGCTGATGTTCCAAAGACATGCGGTACAGGTGAATTGGGTAGGCTAAATTGTCCGTAGTGTATGAGTGTGTGTGTGTGAATGCTTGTGTGGATGTTTCCCAGAGATGGGTTGTGGCTTGAAGGGCGTCCGCTGCGTAAAAACTTGCTGGATAAGTTGGCGGTTCATTCCGCTGTGGTGACCCCGGATTAATAAAGGGACTAAGCCGACAGGAAAATGAATGAATATCATAGATTTAAGATTAAGAAAATTGGGCAACAAATATTTTTTACAGCGTGAGATTGTTGACACAAAAACACAGTGTTTTGCAATAGATCGGTCATCTTTTCTATGGCCTGTAATGAGCTTTTTTGACTTCCACTGCTCATTTTTGATTCAACATTTTAGTGCACTGCTTATTTAACTATAAACTAATTAATACATAAAGTTTATCTATAAACTAATTTCAAAAGGATCACCTGCTTATGATTGACCACAGCCGGTCCTGCATTAGCTATCATGATTTTCCAATCAGACGAATCATCTTCACCTTAAAGAATCCCCCTCCACCCCTACTCCTCCCCCTCTTTCCTAGATTAAGCCAGGACAGGGTGGCACGGTGGCTGAGTGGTTAGCACTGAGTGGTTAGCTGAGTGGTTAGCACTGTCACCTCACAGCAAGAAGGTCACTGGTTTGAGTCCCGACTGGGCCAGTTGGCATTTCAGTGTGGAGTGTACATGTTCTTTCCATGCTAGTGTGGGTTTCCCCCGGGTACTCCAGCTTCCTCCCATAGTCCCAAGACATCCAGTACAATTGAATAATCCAAATTCCACAGTATATTAGCGTTTTTAGTACTGTGCATTCACTGCGTAAACGTATACTGTATAGTTGGTGGTTCATTCGGCTGTGGCAACCCCTAATAATCAAGGAATTGGCTCAACAAACGAATTCAGAGGAGCTCTTGAGACCTTCCTGAGCTTAGACTCCTCTCTTTCCCGATGAAATGGGAGGGAGCCCCGGGCTCAAGGATCTTCTGAGCTCAGGGCTCTCTCCCGGCATAGCATGCCAAACACACTTTATTGTCAGTCATCAGCTAAGTGTGAACTCTTGAATTATATTCATTAGCATTAACAATTAATTTCAATTTCATTTATATTCAATCATTCATATTTTCCAAAAAAAATGGTTATAATAGATTTCGAAATGTCACTGAGAAGCAAATATTTAAGTCTATTGTGCATCATGCAAAAAAAGTCCCCACAGGGAAAAGTATCAAAAGTCCCCGCTGTAATTATTTCCTTGTTTAATCTGAGATGATAACACAGATAAAACCTGTTTTGATAATGCCAAATGTATCTTTCACTCAAAGTTAGCATAACTATTGTTTAACCTCACACTTCCTTTAATTAATTCAATGAAACTGAATCTGTGATAATAGAAATCCAGTCTAATCCTACCTGATATTCCTAAAAAAAAGGGTAAATTTCAGTATAAAATGATGAGCGCTTTTAGTAAGCTCACATTAGCCCTGGAGGATGGACATTGGGATGGTCAGGATGTGGATGGTGAGATGGGTCGTCCTGCTGGT